GGTGAATTAGCAGTTACACATTAACTCCAGCGTTTAAGACCATTTATTGTTAAAACTGTGTTAGAACAACAAACAGAGCTTTATTTTACTGCAAAGGAGGATTATTTTATTTTTACCTAAAAATCTACTGCTGCTGTGGAGCCGCAACCTGGCAGTAAAACAGCAGCATGCGGCTCCAGAGCTGTGAGCTGCCAACCCCTGGTTTAGGTGATGCTTGGCTGGTGCACTAAAAGTAACTGCATTTTATTCATTGTGCTGCATTTGTAACCCTCAACAAATAAATGGTATATTTCTATGTGATGCTACTCCAGGTAGATGTAAACACAAATTCAACATTTTACAAATATTTATGTATCAGCATCAGCTGATATATACATGGAAAATATCAGATATGGTCCCCGGCCGATAACCGATAATATCAGCCAATATAATTTAAAACGGTCAAAAAATAAACAAGTAGTTTTAGTGCTTTACTGACTGATATGTCAGTTATCAACTGTGAGCTGACAAAACTGAAAACCAAACAAAACTGTCAAGAAATTTAGAAAAAATAAACAGAATCATTTAAAAAAGACGTTAAAAAACAGCATAAACTTGTAATCTTACATAATATAAATATTGTAGTTAGGATACATTTAGTCATGCTAAAAATTAGGTCTAAATGCATTTGACATGTTTTTGTTATTTTAACCATGACAGTGTTCAAAAGGGATGTAATCATCGCTAATATTAGTGGCCATTTATCTACTGGTCAGTTCTTAATGCACACTCCATTTATTTACTAGCTTTGATAAAATATTCCTCAGTTGTCTAAAAAGCTGAAGGTTGTATATGAAGGAATGTGCAGACAGCAGAAGACAGGAATCTGCTGCATTCTTTCCCCCCTCTGGCTTCCTTTAGTGAGCTCTCTCTCTTTCTCCTGAGGAAAACATCAGTACTGAACAGTGTTGTCTTAGCAGGAGATGAAGAAAGAACAAGCACAGCTGCGGCTGTTGAAAATGACAGGAGACAAAAAGGGAGGGAAATGAGAGAGAGAGAGAGAGAGAGAGAGAGAGAGAGAGAGACAGAAAGAAAGAGAGAAAGATCAGAGGAAAGAGGGGAGGAAATGAGAATAGGGCACTAAACAGGAGGGAAAGTAATAGCTTTCCTAAATCACTGAAGTTGTGCTTGTTTGTAGTCGTTTAAGTCGCAGTTAAACAGAAACGTTTTTTCACCAGAACGGCCGTGCGCTGGGTCCCAGAGGCCACTGCAGCAGAGCCTGCACTGCCAATGAGCAAACACACACACACACACACTCAACACACAGCACTGCACCCTAAATGGGTCATAAATATTTAAAGCGTAAACTCGGTTTGTATTCGGATGGATATTTTACAGCCCTGGAGCGCCGCGGTCTTTAAGAAGCTCTAACCTGCAGTAATAACATAAAGCTTCACGTGATCTATCATTCAAACAGCACACACTGTCAAATACAGAGAGCGAGAGACACAGAGACATACAGAGGGAGTCAGGGAGAAAGACAAAACAGTAAGAGAGAGACAAAAAAAGTCAGACAGAGTCAGAGAAAAAGAGAAAGGGGAAGTAGGAGAGAGAAAGAGTAGGAGAGAGAGTGAGAGGAAAAGAGAGAAAAAAGGTATTAGAGTCAAAAGATTGAGAGGGAGCAGAAGAGAGAACAAGAGAGTAAGACAGATGAAGATGGAAAGAGATAGAGAGAGACAGAGAGAGAGAGAGAGAGAGAAAGATAGAGAGAGAGAGAGAGAGAGAGAGAGAGAGCAAAAGGGATCCAGAGTAAAAAAGAGATAGAGTGAGAGAGAGAGAAATGTAAAGTGAGAGAGGCAGAGAGAGAGAGAGAGAGAGAGAGAGAGAGAGGAGAGAGTAGGAGACAGTCAGGAAGACAGAAAAAAAGAGGGTGTGAGAATCAGAAGAAGATAGAGGGAGTAGAAGAAAGAGTCAGATGAAGATGGAGAGCGAAAAAGAAGGAGTGAGTCAGAAGGAGAGAGTCAAGAAGACAGAAAAAGAGGGAGTGAGAGAGAATCAGAAGAAGCGACGAGAGTAGAAGAGAGAGTCAGATAAAGACGGAGAAAGAGAAAGGAGCGACAGAGAAATTAATAGCAGAGAAAAAGTGTCGGAGTCAGAAGAAGAAGGAGAGAGAGAAGAGTGAGAGAGAGCCAGAGATAAAGAGTGAGAGTCAGAGAAAGAAAGGGAGAAAGAAGGAATGAGGCAGAATAACGGTGCATGTCCACTGCATGCAGTGCTGAACACTCCACCTCTGCTTCCTTCACCAGGGCCTCGCCACTAGAGGGGCGTGTCTGGCCACGATGCAGGACAAAAACTAGCCTGTCAAACAGTCATGAATTTCAAACAAATCTCAAATACATTCTCTTCTCAGGAAGGTTCTCTAAGATTAAAAAGCTCAGTCTAGTTCAGCATATTGGCTGGCTGCACAGACTATCAACCAACAAAAATATACATTAGATATGCATGAGCTTTCTACATCTGTGATTCAGTACTTTTAACTCACCAGGAACACCGACAATGTCAGAGACTTTCTGTCATGCAGAAATTCTTGTACTTTTGTCTTAAAAGAATGGGGAAGCCAGAAAGAGCTGTTATTAACCTTCCCTCCACGTTGTTCAGATGGAACTATGCAGGCGCATCCTTGTTGTGCACGGACAACATAAAGTTGCTTTTGCATGATTGGTCAGTGCTGCGCTGAAGACAGTTCAACCAGAACCGGCGTGGTGCTCAATCTCACATCCACATCCTGATCATACTTCCCCTGGTTTCCAGTCATGGTATTTGCAGGGTTATTGGATGAATCATACACATCACAGCCGTCAATCAACAATTCTGGGAGGAACCAGAGCCGGTTTATAAGGAGCCTGGCCACTTCCTATTCCCCCCATTATATCAAAAACAGGACTGCTAAACAGCAGGGGGCGCCCGCGAGTGAGTCCTCAATGAATGGGAGTAAATGGTGTAGTATGATGTATTTCACTGAAAAAACAAAGAAATCTTACCTATATGTTTCCTTTTTTCTACAGAAAAGCTGAAGGCGGGCATTACTGCTAGAGCATGATGATTGATTGGCGAGTGGAGCAGCTCATTGGCTGCACTCACTGACATCATGGACATACATGAGTTGCTGTTTTAGACTCCTATAACTCGAGTTTAAAAGTTCTTAAAAATATAACAGCAGTGTTAAAATGGTTTGTGCTATTCAGTGTTCAGAAAATGAATGTATTCTTTTACATTAAAAATGTTTAAAATGTTTAAACTATGTTCAAACTAAGTTATAAACTATGATTTTGCTCAAATGCTCCATATCAACCCATTCATTTTGGACTCACTCGGGAGCGCCCTCTAGCATTTGAGAAACCTGGAAGACATTGCAGAGTGGTAATTCTCCTCTCTACAAGTTCTCTGGAGGAACCTCAAAAGGCACAGGTAGATATGTATGTGCCTGACTTTTTGTAAACTTCAATATATTTGTAAACAAATGCAACAATGCTAACACATAACTGAAGTAAAACAGTGACACGTTTTACAGTACTGGCTTGCATGATAATGAAAACTTGCTAACTTGCTAATTTTGGCCGAGGGTCCGTGGAAAGTGAAATGTTTGATTGGGCTTCACACGACCCGGCCTCTTCCTATTTCTCCCGTCATCTCAAAAACATGACTGCAAAACGCCAGAGGATGCCCACGAGCAAGTCCTCAACGAATGGAGGTGAATGGAGCTAAACGGCTAAAAAGGAAAAGTCAAAATAGTTTCTGATCACTTGCCCAGAACTTACTGTTAATTTTAGAAAATAAAAGTATGTATTTCACTAAAAAAGCAAAGAAAACTCATGTATGTTTTCTTTTTTCTACAGCAAATGACTTTTGGGCAGCAGGACTCTAACATTACTGTTACCAAGTGCTGATTGGTTGGCGAGCGGACATCATGGAAGGTCATGAAGCGCCGTTTTAAAGTCCCATAACTGGAGTTCAAAAGTGCTTAAAAATATAAGTGTTAAAATGTTTTATGCTGTTCTCTGTGTTCAGGAAATGAAGAACTTCAATTCTTTTCTTTAACCTATTAAGTTTGAACTTGCTTGGGAGTGCCCTCTGGCGTTTGAGGAACCCAGATGTTACAAAGTGGTAATTCTCCTTTCCTCTCCTCAATTTTTTTGCCATGCCACTTGCTTTCCCACAATACCTTGTGCATTTTTCAATACTCGATGTTGAAAACAAATGGAGAAATTTCAGTTGACGAATAAGCATGCAGTGAACACGTACCGCAAGAAGTAGATAGAGAGAGAGGGAGTAGTAGAGAGAAAGAGAGAGAGAGAGAGAGAGAGAGGACAGAGCCGAGATGTAAGGAGAGTGAAAGTCAAATTAAAGAGAAATAAAAGGCTTTTTGTGTGTCCTACAAATCAAACGTTCCACTCTGAAATGCAGAGGAAGAGATGTTGTTTTTGTGTGCTGCAGCGTGGCTGAAGCTTAGCCGTGTGCGAGCCTGTCAGACTGAGCACTAATGAGCAGCAAATAACAAACAGAATATGCAAGTGTATCTTTGAAACGAACAGTTATATTTAGCAGATTGGCAGCGACTGCTACGTTAACATGCGTGTGAGGCTATACACATGCACACACACCTACACACACACACAAAGCTCACTCCTGTTTCATCCTCATATTTCGTACTCCAATTGTTTACTCTAGGCCTAGGATAATATTTCTGTCCTCAGAGACTTCTATTAGCGCAGGCTTATCAGAGGCCGACTCCAATTTGGACTGCACATTCTAATATCGGACACCGGTGTACTCCACTGGGACCATCAACAACACTTGTTGACTTTCATTATCGAACAAAGAAAGCAAAGCACAAAACACGCAGCCTTGAAGAATATCGATCTCCAGAGGTTTAGGCGAAAGCAACTGTGAATTAGTGCACACACTGACAAAAAGAAACATGCATGTGTGCCTGCACATTAGACGGCTCCCGCTACACTAACCTTCTTGGTGAAATCCATGGCTTTGAGGATTGAAAGGTTGAGTGTCTCCAGAGATGCCAGCACACCTTCATACTCCCCCATGTGTTTAGCAAAGTAGTCTGGGTAATAGAGAAGGAAAGTAAAGGGAAGTGGCCATTAAATGTTTCACACAAGGAACATATACTCACACAAAACACATACAAATCAATGAGACAATGCAAACCATGAGTTCATGATCTAGCTGAATTGATTAACCCCTTAAGCCCTAAGAGCTCATTTGTGGATGTACACTTCAGTTTCCCACTATCCTTAAAGCAATAAGTGTTACAATGATTTTACCATAGTTATTAAGCATGCTGAGAAGTGGACCCCTTTAAACCCCCTTAAGCATGGCAAAATTACGGTAACACACAACCTTGAGTAGCTTCCCACTCTAATGAAACGGCAACATATTACAATATGATAAAACATACCAATATGCAATAAATTATTTAATTCATTGTTAATAATAATCCCAAATAGGCAATTCTTTTGCTGAGCAATGTAGTTGAGTAACAGCAGGTCGTTAAAAATTATCCCATGAACAGTACAATGTTTTCTAATAATGTAGCAGATTAATACAGAAAATTGTGAAGGTGTGCAGTTATATGTGTGTATACTGAGGCTCCGAATGTGGCTCAACCAATCAGTTTTTAGAACTATTCGTTTTATAAAACTGCATAACGCACCAACCACTTTGTAAGGAACACCTGTCTACCTGCTCAGTTCAGTGATTAACCCCTTAAAATTCCAGGCTTATTACATATTATTATTTATTAAGAGTTATTATTCAGTAACTACAGGGGCTTCGATGCCAACTGGCTGAGTAGTTCAGAAAAAGCAGTTCTTGGAGTTTTAAAAATAAAAAATAAACAGTGAGCTGCCATTCTTTGGGTAGAAACACTTTGTTGATGAGAGACTTGGATGGGCTACAACAGCAGAAGAACACATTGGGTTCCACTCTTGGACAGGAATCTGAGGCTACAAAAGGAACAGGCACACCAGCGCTGTGAGGTCAGACACTGATGTTGGATGAGAGGGCCTGGCACGCAATCTCCATGCTAGTTCATCCTGGTAGTTTCATGGTCAAAGTCTCTGTGCAGGCCAGTCAAGTTCTTCCACACCAAACTCACCCAACCATGCCTTTATGGACCTTGCTTCCTAATACAGTACCACACTTGAATTCAGTGAGCTCTTCAGAACAATCCATTTTTTCACAAATGTGCTGAATGAAACACCTGAATTCAATGAGAAGATGAATAAGCTATAGTGTGTGTATATATATAACTTGTGGTTATATAGGTTGTGTTTGTAATTTGGGAGACGTTCAGATCCCAAGACCTACAGTTCCCCATCTGTGATCCTTGGAGATTTTTTGTCCACTTGAACCATCCTCACTGTGCCTGGGGTCAGTATAGATATACATCCTCTTCCTGGAAGATACTTAACATCTTCTGTTCCTTTAAACTTCTTAATTACAATGGGAATGGGCATTTTCAACTGTTTAGCTATTTACTGTAGCCATTTCCGATTTGTGCAGCTCAACAACCTTTTGTCGCACATTACTGCTGTTTTCTCTGGTCTTTCTCTTTTCTCAGTGAGGAATGACGGAGGGAATTTGGCCCGTGTTTCATCTCATATATATTCCCCAGTGAATCAGGTCATGGCTGACCATTTAAATTTTCCTAACTGCTCAGGTGAACTCAAAAACATAAAATATGGATGGGAATATACTTAAGTTAGATTTTACTCATAAGACTTTCTAGGGGCCAACAATTGTGACACACATAGATTTAAGAAAGATTTGTTTTTTTCTTTCAATCATTATACCTTAAATTAAGATTAGATTTTTGCTAGTATTTTGAATGAAAGATAAAAAAGAACAAGTAATTAAGAATATTTTTTATAGCTCATTTGGCTCATGTTTACCAGGGGCACTGAATATATATGCTAGACTTCTTTTACCTTATTTTGGAGATTTGCAGAGGGTATTTGAAGAATGCTGTGCTGATTGTGTTTCTAAACAAGGTGGATGTAATAGGGTTCAGATGTTTTTGTGCTGTTTATGTCTAGGTTGTTGTGCTTGATGCAGGTAATGTGTCGTCCAGCTGTTCTGTCATGTGTTTTTGCCTTATGCTCCATTCAGTCTGCTGCTTTTTCTGTCATTTTAGATCCATTTAATCTATGAAGCAATCTGTATATAAATAAATTAGCAATTCTAGTTTTGCATGCAAAGTGCCAAATGGGTGGACATTGATCAGGCTGAATATTATCTAGAAGGGAACTATTAGCATCAAGTGGCTTTTGCATGCATCTTTAGAATGGAGAAATAGGTAGGTAATGGTTACAGTAGCAATTACAGTTACAATATGAGGAACATTCATCTTATCAGCTAGGTTATGAATGACCAGCACAAAAACAACAGGGATGCTACAGAAGAGTGGAACCCAGTATCAGTGACACAATGTGGGCAAGGGAGCAGTCTAGTGTGAGCTCTCATAGTTGGAAAAAGCATGCCACTCGAGCTAAATCCTATAGAACACTGTTGGGATGGTAGAACGGGAGATTCGCAGCATGAATGTGCAGCAGACAAATCTGCAGAAATTACATGATGCAATCGTGTCAACATGGACCAGAACCTCTTAGGAGGTTCCAGCACCTTGATGAATCCATGCCTATAAGCATTCTGGCTGCTCTGTTTTAGAATGATGTTCCAAATAAAGTGGCCAGTTTGTGTGTATTGAATTCGTATTAGTCACTGAATAATAAGGTTTAAGATTAATTACTAAATAACATGTCTAGAGTTCAAGGGGTTAACTGATCTGGACATTAATGTCCTTGATCCCATTCTGTTTCCAAGGGCTAATCTTATCAACCCCACATATGCCAACTAAGCCATGCTGAGTGTTTTTATCAGCCGTTATTATGAAACACAAAACATCTGTATGACTTTTTACTGCTGTCACTCTCAGACGAGGAGACGAGGACGGGGTTGGAGGCAATAATGATGAAATTCATCACCATATTCATGCAAAAATCTGAATGTCTGCATGCACACAAACACAAAATGCAACCACAGACACACGCGCAATCTTTTTGATACTTACCACATAGTTCCTTAGTGTCAACATTACTAACACATCACAGGAAAAGAGGGCAGCATATGGAGGGATAGAGAAGGAGAGGCAGGAGGAGAGAGGGATAAGAAACAGGGAAAAATTCAAACATGCACATACATCACACCACCCTCTTTATCATGGGGATAAAGACCCTAAATTAGATCTGATAGTTACACGCACACAAACAGCCACCTCCACTTTAATGCATTCCCACCGATTACTGAAACGACTCAAGTGATCCCACTTTATTAACATGTCCGAGTGATAAACACTAAAGAAACCACAGTTGGATGTGATGTGAATTGATGCGAGTGAGAGAATGCACAAAAGTCTCCTCAATCACTAAAGCACCTGCAGTCAATAAATCAGCCTGCTTCTGAAGAGCAATGGCTTTCTATGTAAATCAGAGCAAATCAATTACCTAACCAAAGAACGACAAAGGAAAAGTAACTCATAGGTGATGTGCTGATGGTATGTTTCATTTCAAAACGCTATATAACCATTAGTAACAGTTTTGAAAATAAAACAGGTTTTTGAAAAGAATAAAAACTGACATATAATACAAAACACGTTTTTATTGCTCAAAATGTGGAGTTAATAATAATATTGCATTGATATTTCTTGTATGTGTAAAGCTCACTCCCAACAACTTATAGCATGGAAAGAAAAAAATCTTGAAAGTGGCCTACAATGGATTTTGGAACAAAATCTTTTAACTTATGTCCAATAGTGTCAAGTTTTATCCACAAAGGGCAAGTGTGGTTGCAAGTTTTCATTCCAACAAAGCAGGAGCACACATGATCAATTGACCATATGCAGATAATGACTGGCACGCCTTTCAGCCAGTTACAATCGTCTGCACATTATCAACCTCCAAGCAAAGGAAAAAAACTCAAACAAACCTGCAGTGAGAACAATGGTGGCAGTAAATTACTCTGAATTAGGATAAGGAACTGGGGAACATGTAATTCAAATGCATGCTATCCTGATATTCTGGAGGCAGGTATAGTTCCTAGTTTATTCATGAAGCTGTAATGTTTTTGGATTAAGTTATGTGGAGGACCACAGCGAGCTCAATATCAGGACTTTCAGCAGGCATCTATTTATTTTCCTTTGTGCTGCTGTTTACTACTTTAGCACAAGTGCTATGGACACTACCAGGTAGCCTGAACTGAAATTTGATTGACGTAGCAACAGTAGCCAAAAGAGGCACAACTTGTCAGAATTTTGCAAACGGTTGACTGTTTGAAGACTTCAAAAACCTCTCTCTGGAGGCCTCCTAGTAGCCGTTCTGCCAGCGGAATGAACAATAAATCTGATATTCTTCGTTAATATAATTAAATACATTTTTTCCTGTTCTCCGATGAACTGGGACGCTGTTGGCTCTCTGTGTGTGAAACATAGTGACTGTGTTGAGCTGCTAGTGAGCAATGAGGGGTGAAAGGAGAGAGGTGAGAGTCTTCTGCTCTGAAAACTAGTCACAAAAACTGGTGTGCTGGGAACAAACAGCAAATGCTATGATAACAAATGGCATTTAAACACAATACAACCACTTTTTTAAAATGTTGACTTGCTTCCTCACCTATGAAGATGAAAATCACATTTGTTTTTGGTTTAGAAAATCATACACATTTCTATCGAAATATGTATCCAACAACATTACTGAAGAAAAAATACCTAGTTCAGCCAAGGAACCTCCTCCAAAACAGACAGAAATTGCATTTAATGGCTATTGTTAAAAGGGGCTAAACCAGTAGAATCAGAAGTGCTTGTTTGGAATGAAAATCTTCAGCTACACTGGCCCCTTACATATAAAAATGAACCTTTGAAGTAGTATTAATGTAACGTCAACTGGAGAAACTACAGAAAACTTCAATGCTCACCTGTCAGCCTACTAGGGGTGTGTCTGAAGGTGGGGATTCAGATGCATCAAATTCAAATGTTTACAGCTGATTATAATCCTATTATAATAATATTTAACAAAGTTTTTTTCTGACTACTTTCAAATATAAAAATTCAGAAAAAGAACTTGTGCATTGTTGTTTTATAGCATATTTTTCACTACAAATATTTCCTCCAGTAACTTTTGTGTATTTGTGTCATTTTTAAGAATAAACAAATGGATCAGATCAAACTGAATCATGGTGAAATTTGAGACTCCAAGTAATTGATTAATTGAGCTGAATTGCTGTGAGGTCCAAGATTCACTCACCGACAGCCTACGATGGTGATGCTGCATTGAAATAAAGAGTACTGAATGCATATAAGGACACTCTGGCAATCTGAAATGACTGGCAACATTTCCAGATTTGGCTTATACGAAGTGATACATTTGCAGAACAGGCTTTTGAAGCTCAAGATGTCATGGACATGCTAATTCGTTGTGTTCTCCTGCTTCAAACACATGTGGCCGTCACATAATGAGCTTGATGTGGTAAGCAGTATGTCTGAGGACCTGGCAGGACAAAAGAGGTTGAAAGAGAGAGTGGGAGAGGAGAGAGAACGAGCGAGAGATGAGGAGGGAGAAGATCATGAAAAGAGCACAGCTAATGAAGACTTTAGAGGACAGCAATTCACCTGGCCTGTCTCCTGTCCATCCTGATACTCTTTCATCTCTGCCTGTTTCTCTCTCTCTTTTTCTCTCTCTCCTTCTCTCTCTCTCCACCCTCTTTTTGATCTTGAGGTTCTTTCTTTTTTCTCTTGCAACTTAAAATAGAGGTGCCACCACTAAAAAGGAGCAAAGGACACCTCCTCCACCTCCACACAAGAAAAGAGCATCAGAAAATAAATGACATTTGCAGGTGGCAGACGGAGACTGACGGCGACCCTGGCTAATAAACCTCACGGCCCTTGTGGCCCTCTTTTTTCTGAGGAACCTGGTGGCCCTCTCTTTTCTCAGGAGCTCTTGAAGTTCACCTCTCTCGGCCTGACACACAGTCTAAAGGTACAGACTCAGGCTTTGTTCCTCCGCAGAGGCCTGAAAGAAGGAGTCGAGGGCCCTGTCCCAATTCTTCAGCTTTCTAGCCACTCCTGGTTGGCAGTGATCTGGATAAACAAGCTGTAAATAGTCCTATCTCTGCTCTGACCCTGTCCAGTCTGAGATGAGTGAGAAGTAGTGTTGTAAATCTCACTAACCTCACAATGAGTCAGTTAGAAATTATTCAATGCATCCTGAAATCTCAAATGTCACACTAATCTGATTCAAATATTTTGGTACAATTTTCACTGTAGTGGAATACAGACAATGAAAATAACACATTATTGTAATTGATTAGTAGCCTCTTCCTGCATGCCCCCTAGTGGCCATTCTCCCAACAGAATAGAACCTGACTCAGATCAGAGACGTTATAAAAGAAGAGACTGTTGACCGGGTAAAATATTAACTGGAAAGCCTGTAACTTCAACGTGGCACCTGTCCTGCCATTCAAGAAAGACCCAATTAGCTTGCTGGTTACACCGTGAGAGGAGAAGGGTCAATGATACTGTGACACTAGGAGGGAAAGCCACCTTTGTTGTGGAGATCTGCGCAAGCGCAGTAGCCAGAACAGCTTGAAAAATCAAGCTTTTTGTGCGTTATTGAGTCAAACGCTACAAACTATTCATGAGATATTTGTCAGATTTTATCAGCGATTTCAAATGTTTTTGAAACAGTAATCTGGCCTTTAGTTTTGAGTATTTTGGTCTCTCTCTATTCAAAGAGAGAGGAATTTGGACTTGTATGGCTGGAAATAACTGCCCTGTGGCATTGCAAAGATGGCCGCCAAGTGAACAGCCTTTCTTATAAGGACTTTGCTCAGATATAATCAAGTAAAATATTTTGTCCCCATTTCTGTTATTGACTTGACTTGTTGGCCCTGCATGAATCTCCTGGCAACTTTTGACACTGTTCTGATTACAGTACTATTACTATTTTCTCTCCCATGCACAAGAGCCTGCTGTTCACTCAGCACACAAGCAGCTGGGCTTTAGCCTGCCTATTAATACATCGCCCACTGGAAATCTTCTGAACTTCTTGAAAAAACATAGTTATATTACAGTTAATTATTAAATATAAGTATAATTGTTCTTAAGAGAGCTACTGAGAACAAGTATTCGAAGTCTGTAAAATGCTTTTCAGTCCAGTCTTACAATTAGACACAAGAAACCATGCATTACAGTAATTTTTAAATGAGTAAGGAGTGTTGTTAGGCAAAATGGCGAAAAATCACTGCAATGCTTCAGGTAGCTTCTTGCTTTTATAAAACATTGACAAAATACAGCATAGTAAAATAGACCAATGCTGAAAAAACAATATTATTATTAATTACAGTAACAAAGTTTGTTAACATTTCAGTTAAATGGTTTTTAATAACTTGTTGCCTTAATTGAGCTCAATTGATATGTGCAGCCATATGTGTGTATACTGAGTGTTTTACTCTAGTATATTATCTAGTATATACTCAAATGTGGCTCAGCCAGTAAGAATTTAGAACTATCTGTTTTAAAAAAATCAATTTTAACACTCTAAAATCAATGCAGCTTCAAATCAATGCATTACAATGCACCAATGCATTTTACACCCCTAGAAATAACACAGAAGAGGATTTTTGTTAGTATAAAAATTTGGGTAAAAGTCTTATTCAAATTGGATCCAGCATTCACTTCTGAAAATTAGTCAGAATTTTATAATTGTGTTTGTTTGCGTGTGACAGCCTTCAGTCAGACAGGCAGCCCAATCTGCTATTTCTCGAAACCTCTGATATGTGACTGATGATTTCGCTGAAGCTTAAGCAGCAAACAGACACATCTAGCAGATTGTTTCTCTTCTGATTCGAAGCGCACTTGTGTATGACACAGCATTGCACTGTTTGGCAATGTATCCACTCTGATATGAAGAAAAAGAAGGAAGGAAAGGAGAAAAACACATCTGAAAAAAACTTTTAAGCACTTCACTCTTGTGTCTAGAGGTAGAGAGAGCTTATAAAGTGGATGAGATATCAGTAAAGGGAGAGAATTCGGATGAGGAGAAATCCAGAAAGGCAGAAAAAAAAAATCTCAATATGTTAAAAGATAAAGCCATACGGGGGACAAGGGAGAGGAGACAAAGTGTACTGCATTCTGCAGAGACCTCTTCCTCCCTCTCCATTTGATTCTTTTCTACCTTGCTGTCTCTGTCTCTCCCCTCCTCCTCCTCTAGTTTTCCTCTTCTTCTTCTTCTCCCTGCTTGTCAGCGCTGTTCTCCTCAACCCTCCCCCACATCTCACACTGCTATCTCTCTACACCTCTGCCTGCTTTCTTCTCTCTTTCCTTTTGTCTCCTTGCTCTTTCTCCCTATCCCCTTCTCTCTCTCTCTTTCTCTTTCTCTCTCTCTCCCCAAGCTGGTCAGTTGTGGGATCTGGTGGTTCATTATTTAGAACTTGGGCTTGGCGAGTCGACAGAGCCTTTTTTACATAATTCATTCTGAAATGTGATTAAAGACAATACGCACAGCGGAGCGGAGCGGCCTCCTGAGACACACACACACACACGCACACACACACACACACACACACACACACACACACACACACACACACACACAGGCAGTGAGATGTGACAGCCGAGGTCCAGTTATGAAACATGGCATGTACATACAGTATACACATCCACACAGAGAGAAAGTTAGGGCGAGAGAGAGAGAGAGAGAGAGAGAGAGAGAGAGAGAGAGAGAGAGAGGGAGAGGTAGAGTTGGGAGAAAGTCAGAGTGACATAGAAACAGAGAGAGAGGTAGAAAGAGAGAGAGGGGGAGAAAGAGTCAGAGAAGGAGAGAAAGAGAACGAGAATGGAAAAGGTAAAGACAGAAAGATAGAATGACAGAGAGGAGAGGGAGTGGTTAGACAGAGGAATAGAGAGTGAGAAAGGTAGAGAGAGGCAAGAAAGAGAAAAAAGAAAGGTAGAGAGAGAGGCAGAGAAAGACAGAGAATGGTACAAAGAGAAAGAGAGAAGGAGACAGGAAGAGGTGGAAAAGAGAGTGGGGGAGAAAAGAGGCAGAAAAGAGAGAGGGAAGAAGAGAGAATAGGGTGAAAGGTAGAGAGAAACACACAGACTTGGAGCAGAAAGAAGCAGGGAGAGAGACAGAAAAGGAGAAAGACAAAGGAGAGAAGAAAGAGAGAGAAAAAGGAAAAGAGGAAAAAAAGAGAGTCAGAGAGAGAGAGGTAAAGAGAGATACAGAGAGAGGTAGAAAAGGAGAGAGATATACTGCTCTTTAAAAGTAGACAGGAGAATTATTCTGCAACATCTCACAGCTTCCTCTGTTTTCCTCCCTCAGGCTCTCTCTTATTTATCTTCTCGCTAATTCCCTTTCTGCCTGTTAACTCCTTTCCTCTCGCTCATCCTACATCTCTTCTTCCCTCTTCCTGCTGTAGGTGAGAAACACTGTGAGCTGCACTGTCACTCTGCTGTACTGCATGGTCACTGTGAGCCCTGGTCACCTGGTGTTATCAGAGTCAATGGTGTGGAACAGCTTTTCCAGCTCCTCCTCGTTCAGTGTTCCATCGGAGAAGAACGCCTGGAACTCATCCAGGGAAAGCTTTCCATCATCTGTAAGGAGAGAGAGACAGAGAGAGAGATTTCAGCAGCATGCCTCGTAATATTCCATGAAAATTGAAGCAATTTTCATGTTATACGTAGGGGAGGGCAATAGGACGATATTATTACTGATAAATTAGGTCACGGTACACTGTTCTGAGTATGTCATGGGTATAGTTAGTATGTGTAGAACAGTGTACAACAGTTTCATCTTTAAAATAAAACTGAAAACATCAGAAAAACAAAACAGAGCAATATATCATTATATATGCCCAACCTTAGGCCTGCTCCACACATACCACCTGTGCATGACATGAGCACCATGTAAGAGCAAAAGCCCAAAAGCGCTCTAGAAGTGGCACAGAATCTAGGCATCAAGGCTATTGTTTGAATGCTGCATATACAAAACAATGAAAATGGAACAGAAAACCAAACAATATCTTCAAAAAAAACCCAGAAATGTATACTCAGTACTAGCTGCATACACACTGTCTGATTTTTACCACACTTGAAACGATTGCCCAATTAGAAGTCAGAGAGCTGCAGAGAGAAAACAAATGTACGGTGCTCATTTATGAATTATAATAATCAAAGTAACTGAACCATGTAATATATATACATTTGGAAAAAGCATGTCTGTAGAAGTTGCAAACGCCTGGCTAGTAATCAGTTTAGATATTTAGCATTTTCCCAGTCATCAGAATTGGCAACTCCCCAATTAAAAGTTTGTATGTGACTTATGCACATCTCTCATAAAACCACACCTGGAGGTGAAGCTGCTGGCTTAGCCACAGTCTTACTGGATTGGTTAAAATAAGTATGCCGGGTTCAACCATTCAAAACTTCTGCAGCCTTCCTCAATGTCCTGCCTATGCTATGGAAAAACTGCACCATGAGTTGAGTAAAACAAAGATTATTTTCTTGCCACCTCTGCATGAGAGAGGAGGATGACTAGCTACACACAAATTACAAAAAACAAACAAACAAAGGAAAACAGCTGTGCTTATACTTTATAATTACAGTGGATTCACAAATGTAGCCAAACAAATGTGACTCATGCACGCAGTTCAAAACATGTCTAAAGCAGACTTGCACATCGGCCCTATATAGGATAATGTAGGATACATCCAGAAATATACTTTGCTAATGTTCAAATGTGCAATACAGACACCATATGTTGCTTTTTGAGACACATAATGTTGGTGCTATTAATAAATTGCATAAGCAGTACGCATGAAAAAATCTCATAAACATGTTTCTATCTGTAAATTGTACAGATAATAAGCACATGGCTGACACATATAAGAAAGAAACATAAAGATAGACAGTAAGAGACGTCTTAAATCTGCCATCATGCCGCTGAACTGGGCAAAACAAAAGGTTGCGGAGAGAAATTTGCGCAGTAGTGAAACCAGTAGTGTGTGCAGTAATGAGACCAGCAATGTGTGCAGTACTGAAACCAGTCATGTGTGCAGTTATGAAACCAGTGAGTACTGTGCAGGAAGGATGAGGATGGATAGAAATACTCAATCAATTTCTTGGTTTCCTAAATGATGCAACTGTCTAAGCATTAAACCTGTGATTGGGATTTCAAGAAAGCATAAATTCCTCTCTCTGGGTGGTGGGATGGCCCTCTCTCTCCCCCAACACTCAGTCTATGCCATTTAACACTTGTGTCTGTTAGCTGTAATAGAATTGGCAGTTAGCATTCTCCTCCAAGCATAATGATGTCTTGTGTCTCGGGGGAAACGGGTGCTAGCCTTCATCCTCCCAGATTGGTGAAAACTGCAAATGTACACTGCATCTCCAGAACACACTCATTCACACCTGTACACGGCGCAGACATGACTGCGTGTGTAGGCTAAAGAACTTTCACTAGGTACGTCGTTTACTAAATTCATTACTCTAGCCATTTTGTAAATAGCGAGACCTCATGTAACTTACAGGCCTCTCTCTGCAAACTGTCACAAACTGACAGGATTCTTGAAGGAGATTAAATGCAATGTGTCATCTTGGCAGCAACGTAGGCTACCACAAAAGCCACTGATTTTAGGAAGCAAGTCAAGGGGATGTGAAAGAAAGAGAGGGAGCAAGAGAGATTGTCTCTCAGTTTTCATGCAGGGCTGGGTGACACGGGGGAAAGCAGGCATTAATTAGGCAGTGTGACCCACTTTGTGGTTCCGTTTTCCTCTAAGGAGTGCCTCACACTGGAAACACAGCCACTGCCTATCCACAATCCCCCTCCACTCTCACTACTGTAGCAACCTGACACAAATAATCCTTTACTCTGTATGGATGCTGGATGGTGCTGTGTGAATAGGAGGACATGGAGTTGTTCTGTTTAAATCTTTAATAGTCCTTGTTAGTGCTAGCCCACATTGCTGCCTTTACCTGGACAGATGAAGGCTAGAAGAATGGATAGTCTCTGGAACTTAGACCAACTGCTGTAACCTAGTTTGGTGAGCTTCAGCTAATTCCAGTCTGAACACTGTGAGTAACTGGCGAGGGTGCTGTAGGTTACCTGTTCCAGTTGGAATGTCAGTGGATGACTGTCCCAAAGCTGTTTTAATGAGCTGTCCTTCAGTGCACAGAGAGATAAAAGTGTCATTGCCTATAAGAACGATATCTGATTCCAGTCCTTGAGGGCCAGAGTCCAGGACAGTTTTGCTGATTTCACCTACTAAACCTGGTACGTTCTGCTGTTGTCAATTTTGTTAGTTACAGTATATTTTAGCTAAGTGGCTGGCTTGTTTATATGGATTATTATGAGCTCATGAGCTTTGATGATTGCCAGTAATTGTTCAATCATTTCTGAAATATGCTTTTGCTCACATCCACTGCAATGAATACAACAATTGTTGAATTTTGAAACATACAGTACTGTGAAAAAGTCAGAGACCACCTTTCATTTATTTGATTTCCAGTCAAAACAGCAATTAAGTGAAATGTTTTTGCATCAGGAAAATAAATGAAAAAAGGTTTCCAAAGCTGGAGCTAAAAAAAGACAGAGAAAATGTGACTCCTAAAACTTGTAGACCTTCAAATCTGTCACCATCTGATAAACAGAACTTTAGGCTTTCATCTTTGAGAGACAGGAGAACATCAAGCTCCACTCTTGCTTCAGATCTGAAAATATCGACAAGCTTTTCTTTCCATCCTTCCACTGAAAGAGGACAAATCAACACCAAATCAAACAAAGAAGCTGTCAAGTTATCAGAAAAATGGGCTGGCCTCAACATCTGTGAATGTGTTTTACTTGGATTTAAATGCAACCACCCTTTAGGAGAGAACTTTGGAGGTGTGGAAAATTCCTGCTGATTTCCTGCCGAAAAACTTAAAGCAAGTCTCCCAAAAAGAATGGAAGCTTTACTAAAGAAAATGGATGTACATAATAAATATTGAAAAAGATGTCATGTTTATTTGTTGAGGCCTGTTGTGAACTTTCCTGTTAAATAGATGTTTTCTGCTCTTTTGATGGTGGTGAAAAATGCTTAAAAAACTTAATGGCCATTTGACTGGAAATTAAATAAGGGTGGGCTCTAGCTTATGCACAGTACCACATAGTGATGTGAGGTTAATAAACTGAATCAGGGATGTTTGTGCAGGAAAACTGTACTGGACTAAGAGCCTCCAGGGCAGCAGCTGAACCGCCGTTGCTTATAAATTTGACCAGTCATCTCACCTTAATGGATGTCCTGATTACAGTGGATTCTAAAAGTGTAAAGTGTGTGTGTGGTCAATGTGTTGTGTCTGGAGTGGATGTAGACACAGCCACAAACTCTTTGGTGCAGTTTCTGTCTGCTGTGTGTGTGTGTAGGCAGTGGACTACAGGGACTACAAACCAGCACAGACTTCACTTCTTCCTACAAAGGGGAGCAATTAGCACTTTTCACTGTCTGCTGCAGTCTTTCCTCTCAGAGACTTCTAGCGCAAGTAACACTCTGAGTGTTTCCTTTCTCATCTCTCTCATCTTCAACTCATCATATTTTCAGGGGTAAGGGAGGAGAAGTGTGGTGGCTGGTTGCTATGACGACCAAGCGAAAGGAGCTGACCTTCTTTAGAATGTCTCAATCTTCTGCTCTAGCACTCTTTCCACTTCTCTGTACCTGTTTTTAGTTCCCATCTGCTTCTCCTTCCTACTTCATTCCTTATTTTCATCATTTCAGCTGAGCAAATATACTTTTCTAGAAGGGAGACCTTTGCTTCAGTAACATGTGCTGGCAGTAAGGCTGCAAAATACATTGTTTATAAATGGATATTGTGATATTGGCTGTGATATCACTGTGTTTTTTACTGTGTGCTGTGACCAATCACAATTCCAGATTAGTGAGTATTTTTTTAGTGAGTGGGTGTTTTGAAGAATCAAGATATTCATGTAATCCAACAAAAATAAACACACAGTATCAGCGAGGTCTGTAATCTAGCTGAGTGTTTAGCTTGATGATAGGTGGGAAGGTAAAACATGGTATTATGGCTAACGTTATTTTTCCCTGCCCACTAGTGCATGGTGACATGATTAAAAATCAGAAGTCGTTCAGAAGCGGGCAAAAGCCATCACATTTTGATTAGATTATGGGACATTATGGGAATTATGTCTTTTAAAAGATATGATATGATGAATCTATGACCAACAACATGAACTAACAAAGTAAAGTAGTTCATTTTGATTTGATCTGACTTTTATACATCACAGGGCATATCAATCACAATATGTAGAAAAGAAAAAAGAGAATCACAACACTAGTGTTCTGTTGTGGTAAGCATTCGTAGTATTTAGTAGACAGACAGACAGACAGCTTGCTTTAATAATCCCCATCAGGGAAACTCATATACCACTATATACAATAAAGAGTATACAAAACATACAGATCATTATGAGGTCATACATCACGTGCTGCTGATGGTGCCACATTCACATAACACTGTTAGAAAAAGAGAAAAAATGTCCATCCCTGAATTGTAGCTGATTTTACCAGACTTTTATAATATCCATTAACACAGAGCTGCTGTCA